GATATGAGTCAACAGTGTGCCCTTGTAGCCAAGAAGGCTAATGGCATATTAGGTTGCATTAAGAGGAGCATTGCCAGCAGATCCAGAGATGTCATTATTCCCCTTTATTCGGCTTTGGTGAGGCCACTTCTGGAGTACTGTGTCCAGTTCTGGGCCTCCCACTACAAAAAGTCCTTTTCTGCAGAACTACTACTTAACTGGTTGGTCCCCAGCTTGTAACTATGCTTGTAATCTGCAGCTATAGATTCCTATCAAACGTGATCATTGTTAAATCTGCTCTTTAAAACGGTCTTCACCAGAACAGGTTATGGAAATTTCCATTAACCCTAGAACACTAGTTTTAACAAATGAAGAAGAAACGTCTCCCTCCTTTATAATGTTCCAATACATATAATTTAAATACATTGTTCCCTTCAAAACTCAAGAACTTTGCACTTGTATCCTCATTCCACGAGGAGTAACGGTAGTTCGGACTAGGAAGCCTAGTCCGAACTACCTAGTTCGTGCCGCGTGTAGCCAAGTGCAGACAATGAGGAAAAGGACAGAAGGGGAGCTGTCAGTGGGAGGGGGGACAGGGTGATGCTGGGAGAGGAGAGGGTAAGGGCACTGGGGGCTAGAGGGGGAGGAGGGGGCTGGGAGAAGGCTTGAAAGAAGGGGAAGGCATGAGGAAGGTGGGGATGGAGCAAGGCATGTGTGAGGGCACGGGCATGAGGGGAACAGGGGCAGAGGGTGGTGAGGGGGTGGGTATCAGGGAAAAAGAGAGCAAAGGGGGCAGGGACAGTGAGGGAAGGGGGAGGCACCAGGAGGGTGCAGGTGCCAAGGGATTCTGGGGATGAAGCAAGGCTTGAAAGAAGGGGAAGGCATGAGGAAGGTGGGGATGGAGCAAGGCATGTGTGAGGGCACGGGCATGAGGGGAACAGGGGCAGAGGGTGGTGAGGGGGTGGGTATCAGGGAAAAAGAGAGCAAAGGGGGCAGGGACAGTGAGGGAAGGGGGAGGCACCAGGAGGGTGCAGGTGCCAAGGGATTCTGGGGATGAAGCAGAAGGGCAGACACCTGCAGGGGAGGGACCAGCACCAGAGGAGAGAGGCAGGGCAGGTGT